TGGATCTATTAAAAAATCACTTACGAAAGCACGTATAATTAAGTTCAATAGTGGGAAAACACCAAAAATAGTTTAATCTACTTGATTAATGATTACAATTTGCTATAGGAAAATTGCATTTTAAAAGATATGGAAGTTGTGGTCCTGTGGATTAGAGCCATATAACTCAGTTAACAAATACTCCATTAGTTTATCATAATATATAATACACACATCGACACACATATACAACTTTTTTTACTACTATCCTATTAATCATGAACCAAAATTTTCGTGATTGAATCTATGGATTGTCAACAGTTTTAGTTTAGTTGTCATGTTACTCGATATACGTCGCAATAGATCATGACATTGTATACCAAAATGAATTGTTGTATTCTTTTCATATAAAATGAAGCCAAGAATACACGAAATTCTAGTCTAACTAGTTTATAATATAACTGAGATTATCAACATTTCTATATGAAATATGTATCGAATTATATATGAGCAATACATATCTGCCGGCTATAGTATAATTTATAGTATATATTTCATATGATAGATGCAAATTCTTCAGAAATTAACTTAAATTTCGACTTAGAGGCTCCAATCATAATAATAAAGACTTCTAGAAACAGAGTAGCAGTGAAATAATTAAGCAATATATCATTTTCCATGCCCAATGGTAAAACATTGAGTAACTAAAACATTTTAAGAAAAAAATGTTTGTACTCGGTGCAGTGAAATAAGTACATAAGAACTAAACAACAATACATAGGCTATGATTACCGGTTACCCAAAAAAAAAAAAACTATATGATTGCTACAACAGTTCCCACAGTAGTTTATCTAAAACGCGAAATATTGATGGTTAGTGCGGGAAAAGTATTTATGGGTTAGTGATATGACAGAAGACAAACATAGCTGCTACTGTCTATATTTCAACACTATTTATGGTACATGTCCTAAATAATTATGGAAGTAATGTATTTATAGAAACTGCAAATTTTTAGTTGCAAGGACACAAGACTTGTTATATTTTTACTCAGTTTGCTATATACTCAGCATTTACGGTGCATGCTGTTTCGCAAATTTCACAAATAAAATATAAGTTGGCTAATTAGTTTTTGGAAAACAAAAAACAAAAAAGAAACCATCGATCCACCCAAAAAAAGTTAGTTCACCTAAACAATATATTTGTCGCATATACAGTATAATCAAATGGATTATTTTTGTACCACCATTAATTAATTTGATTGCTTTTTACAGAATCGGGTATTACAAAATCATGTTATTGCAACTTTCTTTTGAAATGAACTAATCTTTCTAAATAATAATTTATTTATCAGAACATTATATACATACATCCCATTTTCTACACAACTCGTTCCTTTTCCTCACACCCTCTATAAAACCCTTCTCCCTCTCCTCCTCTCCACTTCAAAACCACTTCACAAAAACACACATCTCTCTCTCTCTCCTCTCTCTCTCTCTCTCTCTCTCTCTCTCTCTCTCTCTCTTAGATATTATATTCATCATCTTTCAACAGGTCAAGACATCTATATATCTCGGGAAAAAACAAAGCAAAGATCATGAACACCATTCCGGCGGAACTCACCGGACTCTTCCAATATGTATCTTCTGAAAAATATAATAACCAAACACCAATCATGGAGTCCGAATACTTCAACATGCCCTCTTCCCCTACTTCCTCTTCCTCCTTCTACTACATCAACGGTCTGATAAACAACAACAACAACTACTCTTCATCATCCAACGGTCAGGATCTAATGACGAGCAACAACTCAACATCAGACGAAGATCACCAACAAAGCATGGTCATTGATGAGAGGAAACAAAGAAGGATGATCTCTAATAGAGAATCTGCTCGTAGGTCAAGGATGAGAAAGCAGAGACATCTCGATGAGCTTTGGTCTCAAGTGATGAGACTTCGCACAGATAACCACTGTCTTATCGATAAGCTAAACCGCGTATCTGAAAGCCATGAGCTTGCTTTGAAGGAGAACGCTAAGCTTAAAGAGGAAACTTCTGATCTCAGACAGCTTATCTCTGAGATTAAGTCCAACAACGAAGATGACGGCAGTTTTCTAAGAGAGCTCGAAGATTCGATATCAACCTCTAGATCGGATTCAAACCAGAGGGGCAGAGATTTTGGTTTGTGTTGATGATCTTAATCATCGTTGTTCTGCTTGTGTCAAGAATGTAGATTTCATAACGATCATATGGTATTATAAGATATAAATTAAAATATATCAATAAATGTAATGTTTCTCTATCTTTAGTTCTTTTAGCCAACTTGAATTACTTAAGACTACTAATGATAATCATGCGCGTACTATTCATACTATATTATTCTCACTTTGAAAGCCCTTTTAAAATAAGCACCCGATTTAAAATGTATGAACTGTATGATACGGGAAAATAATATTATCTTTTAAATATTTCAGAACATAATTTATCATCTATTCATCTGTGTTAACTCCAAGGAATATTTAGGTTCACGATATGATGAATTAGTTCCATAGGGGGGACAATAATTTTTTTGGACAATATATATTTTTTAATATTACTTATGTTTGAGTCGACAAGAAATTTTGATTAGTTAAAATGTAACTTTCAAGAAAACTAAAGATATATTTCCTTTTAATTTATTTCCGTACTTCTAATTCATGTTTTCATATGATATGATTATACAAAAGCAGGCACTAGTTTTTTTTTGTTAAACAACTGTGCATTAGTTACCAATAAATTTGTTGATAAATATTGTGGTGTGTAGTTTTAAATTTTAAATCCAAATAAACTAAACGAGATTGTTGAATATCCAAATAATTAATGACGTTATATCATATCAAATCCTTAAAATTTTCAGTTCGCCGCATAAATAGACTTGCATCATCAAAAAAACATTCATGGCAAACAAATATTTAAGAAGAAATCGATTACTAAAAATGGTGGACCTCTTCTTTTTAAAAATCAAACATTTAATCATTAGGCCCTTTTTCTTATAAGTTGTATTATACTATATCTTAGTCATTTAAGCATCATTAATTCGAGTTTGACAGGCCCACCAAGAAATTGTTCATCAAAATTTTCACCTGGCGCATAAATATTCTTCTGAATCGAAACATATCACAATCAAATAAAGAGATGTACATCACAAAACACTACTGAAAATCTAATTAACTTATCTTCACTTATCAGTATTTCTCTACATTTTTTATTACGTTGAATCTGTATTCTCTACGTAATTTTTATCTGTTCTTTTTGTTTTCACGTGATGGAGATGGAATTGTTATATTAATATCTTTTACAAGTTAAAGATAAATATCCTAAGTGTGGAAGTACACTTAATCGATATATATATATATTTATTTATAATGTAATTGGCGAAGAATAGAAAATTTAAGTATCTATATATGTCTACTGTCTACATATTAATATATTATTTGTGAAATATTCAATTGTAGATAAGTGGTTTCGAAGATGTGACAAAACAAAGTAGTTTCGAAGATTATTTGATATATCATCCATTATTCATTTGCAATTTTTGTTTTGTCGGCGCAAATCCGGTAATGATTATGGGTGAATATGTCAATTTTTAATAAAAGTAAAGATCATTTAAAGATTTTGGACGTAGAAAGATGCTTACAAACAAAATAATTTGTATCTTAAAAACAAAAATATGTATGTAAAAAGAGTGTCTAATAGTCGGACTAATTAATTAACGTGAAATATATAGCATGCTTATAACAGTTTAACATGTCTTTTTAAAACTGAAATTAAAGATATAATACAGTTTTTATCCCTAGAAATGGATTTATATTGGATTGGATTTCCAGAATTTTATGTTGAATATACATAAAATCTTTTTTTGTCAACTATCGAAAATAAGACTATTTAAAAATGGTGGATGGTTGTTGAAATGAAATAAGACAAAAGGAGGTGGAGGCTCCTGGTGATAGTGCCTCTGAAAAGAAGTATATAACTTAGGAGACTAATTTCTAAAAGAAATAGTAAAATTAAAATAAAAGAATCGCATATTTATAAAAAATAATGTTACCTCCTCTAACACAATTAAAAACATTTTAAAATAAAAATGTTCATAATTATAATTTATAGCAACTTTTAAATATACAAATAGAAATATTTAGTGATAAAGATCAATCTAAATAATCTATGAATAATTTTATTCATCACATCACTCAACTCACACCATTTCGTTACCTTAGTACAAAAGAAACTCACCATTTCGTCAACGTACGTTTATACGTAACATTAACATACAGTTTGCATATTTTTATTAGAGGAAAAGGAATTACTATAAGCCTCTATTTGGGCCCATCCTAATTAGAAAAAGCCCAATTTTATTTCAAAACAGTAGCACATTCAAACATTTTTTGTTATCTCCAATCGAATTTGATGTTCTCTTACAACCAAATAATAAAATATTAGTTGACATTGATATAAAAAAGATAAGTCTAAACATAATTACTTATCTTAGAATTAATTTATCCATCACTTCACACACCACTTCTACAAATGCACCTTAATATATTTGCATGATTTTTCACTAAAGGATGAAAGTCCAATTAGATCAAAGCTCTTTATTTTTTTTTGTTCCAAACAACCCAATAACTTGATTTGGTCTGTAACAACTATATAGGGACAAAAACATAAGTTTGACATCGATAGAGCAGACTTTGTTATACTACCTCTAGTATGAAAATTTCTAAGAACACATCTCAGATTTCTTGCTCCTTTGTTGTATAACTCAGAAATTTTTATTTTTCGGCACACATCATAAACTCTTTTTTTTTTTTTTTAAATTGGCAACATGTCCAATTAATATTGGGATTGGTGTTTTACTAAAACTGGTATATAGCGTTTAAGAAAACTGA